TATAGTTCTGCCTGATATTTTAAGAGCAGTTTGATTTTTTTAATACTCTTCTGGGAAAGGGTGTACTGACTAGCTCCAGCCCTCTACCATGCATCTCTACCCCTACCCCCACTACCTTCTGAGATACAGAGATCATGCTTCCCTATGAACTGGATTAGCTGCCACAAATGGCCACGTTGCAGATGTTGCTTCTAGTTTTAAAATTTCCTTTGGGAAAGAGAGTTCAAATTTACATTTATTTACTTATCTATTTACTTATTTATTTTAGTTCTTGGTGATTTCGATTCATCAACAAAGCATGTTATTACAGCAGAAGAAAAAAGTACTGGTTTCATTGGCTGCAAGGTACCACATAGTAACCCCAAAGCTGAGGTGCGCTATAAAATCCGAGGAAAGTGGCTGAGACATTCCACAGGTGAGGGTTTTTATGAAAAGCCAGTGGCGCCCACAGGTCAAATGTTCTTTAAACAACCTACTATTAAGCTCTGTGTGCCGGGGACTGCTGATACAAAAATACATTAGATACCTTGTCTCCACTCTCAGGAGTCAAGGGGAAGGGACTAGAACAAGTGGTTACATTATTGAAATAATTACGTTCCACACACATGCAGGGCTCACTCCCTCAACTTATTCAGGTCCCTACCAAGACAGTTTTTTCTCTGAGAAGACCTCCCTCAGGGCCCTTTCTAAAATAATATGTCCTGTTGCTCTCTGCCCACTGTCACTGTATTAAGCTCCCCGCCCCCCGCCCCGCATAGCATTGTGTCATACATATTTTTGTTTGCTGGCTTATTATTTACCTTTTTCTCTGCCACTTCCATTCCTTGCACTGGAATGTCAACTGCATGAGTGCAAGGCCCTTTTTTACTGTCTTCATTGCTGTATCACTTGTGCCTGGACCATCTGTAGAAAATAGGCACTGAATATATATTTGTTGAGGAAAAAAATGAATGAATAGACATGATTGAATATTGGGTGATCAGTGCTGTAGGTGTAGGTTTGCCCAAGGTGTTAGCTCTGGTCATTGAGAACATTTCAATGTTCTCAACCTGTGATCTGTTGTCAAATGTTTTTGATTGGCTTGATTTTGTTATTCTAGTGGTGTTGACTTTTTATGCCTTGACTTTCCCTTTCCTTCATTTAATGATTTTCCCTAGTTGCTTTTTTGCTGCTAGTCTTATGCCTAAATTTAAAGCATAACTATGAACCTTAATTAGTCTTAATTGGTGTCCTTCATAAAGAGAGAGTTCTAACTGCATTCTCTTCCTTCCTCAGAGAATTATTTAATCCTTCCATCAGGAAATCTTCAGATTTTGAATGTATCCTTAGAGGACAAGGGATCATATAAATGCGCAGCCTTTAATCCTGTCACACGTGAATTAAAAGTTGAACCCATTGGCCGAAAGCTCCTTGTGAGTCGTAAGTATTGGAGAGAATAAGGCTAACTAGGAAGAATCCTCAGAAGCATTCTTCATAATAAAGTTGGGAAATGAGAGTTCATTTTTCTTTTAGATCCTTTTGTTATCATAAGAAAGTATTATAAAAATTAAATACATACATGTATTATAGAATAGTACTGTGCGTATTTTTTAAAATGTAGTGATTGTTTAGAGGAGAATTTTGGTCAAGATGACAGAGAAGAATACATATGGAAAACTTTACCCTTTGCTCAAATAAAAAGAAATTTTAGAGAAAATATAACTATATCAGTGATGATCAAGTTGATGGCTAACTGTGAATTATGAAAAATAGGTATCTCTTCTCTTTCAGGTTGATAAGTCATAGCTGATTTTTAGATTATGGTAGTTGAGCTGAGGTAGAACCAATCGCCAAAGCTCAATGAAGTAGAAGTTCTTGTTCTTGTTGAGATTTCTACTTTTCTAAACTGCTAATTTAGAAGTAGCCTAAAGGATCACAAACTCTTTTAATTTTAATTCTCAACTAAGAATGATTTAGCTACCAAAAAGGACCTTGTAGTATAAAGAACAATAAATGGAAAGGTGAGAAAACTCACAGATTTGCTAAGGAAGAGATTGGACATGAATGCTTAGTAATTTTTTGTTTTCTTTTTCCAGGCCCTTCTTCAGATGACTTGCACATCCTTCACCCCACCCTTTCCCAGGCATTAGCTGTTCTTTCTCAGAGCCCTGTAACCCTGGAGTGTGTGGTGAGTGGGGTCCCAGCTTCTCAAGTGCATTGGCTGAAGGATGGTCACGATGCTCTGGTGGGAAGCAATTGGCGGAGATTGTATTCTCATCTTGCCACAGATAGTATTGACCCAGTGGACTCTGGAAACTATTCTTGTGTGGTGGGAAGCAAGTCTGGAGACATAAAACATGTGACTTACATGGTTAATGTACTTGGTAAGATGTTACTTAATACGTTTTTTTTGAAGTCAGGCCATTTTTCTGGTCTAACTGATGTTTGAATGGAATGTTTGTGAACTAGAAATGAAGTAAGGACTATCTAGAAATATCTACACCGGCAGACAGGACAAGCTTCATTTTCTTAAAGGACTGCTGAATTAGGCCGTATTTCTAGGTGTCTCAGAACATTTCACTTGGGACGTTCTTGGGACCCTCACCTCAGCCTGGTGATGTAGTACAGAGCTTGTCGTTCCTTCTTAATGGCATGCAGAAAAGACTGGAATTCAGTAGGTTGGAAGAGTCTGGGCTGTGTTAGTTAGTGTAGCATCCAGCAGGAGCAACTAAGCCAGAGTACTGACTAGAAAAACTCATCTCAAAAAGAAATTGATTTCATTTTATTTCTCCTTTTGGAATGATTTCACTATATCTCGCTAATACAATTTGCATTACTTTCACCCACAATTATATATATTCTCTTTCTCTCCAAGCTGTTCCTTTCTTTTCTTCCAGCTACCTATCTCATTGTCATGTGTAGCAGCAGAAAATGTTTTCCTTTCTCAAAACAGGTTTTTGTGAAAACCAGAAAAAAATAGGTAGTAAGTGGTTTCATAATTAATAGTTTTTGTAAACCCGCACGTGTTTAATTGCAACCCTGGAATTAATGTAAATGTGTGGCAAGTGGGCTTTAAAATTTAATGATCATTAGGAGTAGATTAATATGCATAATCTTTTAATTTGGGCATGTGTTACAAATGTCGATAAATGATTTACTTTGTCTAGGTAAAAACTCATTTGATGGATATTAAAGGACGTTCTTTTGCCCATTATATACCTACCCTCAAAACAGAATTGACCATAAAAAGAATTTAACTTCTGAATAAGCATTCTTCTGTTTTGGCTCTTGTTTAATGTAAAATCCAGGGAAACTATTACTTTATTTCAAACAAGTCACCTGAAACTAATGCTAAGATGTATTAGTAACATATGGTTTATCCTATTAGAGGGAAGTTAAAATACATTTCTAAATTTTTCTTGACCACAGCAGATGGGAGAATGTGAATAAATAATACAAGTTGATTTTAACTAGTTACTGGTAGAGAGAAGATTTTATATGACTCACGTGATAATTTATATATTTTGTTTTCAGAACATGCCTCCATTTCTAAAGGACTGCAGGATCAGACAGTGTCTCTGGGCGCCACAGTTCAATTTACTTGTGAGGTTCGTGGGAACCCATCCCCCAACTGTACCTGGTTTCACAATGCACAGCCTATTCATCCTTCCCCACGACATCTAACTGGAGGAAATGGATTGAAAATCAGTGGTGTTACCATGGAAGACTCTGGGCTGTATCAGTGTGTAGCGGATAATGGGATTGGATTTATGCAGTCTACTGGGAGACTTGAAATTGAAAAAAGTAGGTTTTTAGGTCATGTACTTCACAAATAGTTTGATGTTGTGGTTAAAATTTAAACTAAAGGGAATGATCCTATCACCATAACAGAACTGCATTCATGTTTCACGGTCCCTCTAGTTGCAGGTAGGCATTTCCATGAAGAAGCAGCCTTATTTAATCAAATTCATTAAAACATTTACAATATTTTTTCAACAGATACTGTATAGTTTAAAAGGTACATGGTAAAAGTCTCATTCCCGTTCTCCAGCCAGCCAGATTTCCCTTTAGAACTAATGAGTTTTATAAGTTTTTTGATTATCCTTGTGTGTACATATACAGTCCCACACAACGTGTGTGTATATGCATTTAATAACAGTTTCTATGTTTTTTACATCAATGGTGGTAGCACTCTTCACCTTGACATTTTCACGTAACCTATTTCTATATGGTATATTAAAGAGTGTTTTCATTCCTTTTTAAAAATGGATTCTTATTAGTATTCCATTGCATGGTTGTAATGATTTGACTAGTACCTTACTGATGACTGTTTCTAATCTTTTGCTACTATAAGGAGTTCTACAATGAATGTCCTTCCATGTAGATTATTTTGTATATGTGTGAATATCTGTAAAGTAGATTCCTAGAAATGAACTTGCTTAATAAAAGCATATATGCACTGGTAATTTTGATAGCTGTCAGAGTTGCTCACCAAAGCTATTACCAGTTTACATTCTCACCAGCAATGTGTAACTGCCCGTTTCCTCATATCTTTACCAAGTCAATTTTTTTTTTTAAATCTTTGCCAGTCTGATAGGTTAGTTTTAGTGTATGTGCTGCCGAAGTGAGTACAAACAATCTGATAAGGTTTTAAAAAAGTACTTTTTGATCCATATTTTATTATGAATGAAGTTGGGAAACTTTTCATGTGTTAATGAGCCATTTGAACTTCCTTTCCTGTATATTGACTGTTCTGCATCTATTTTTTCTTGTCTGTTAAAAATTAGGTTGGTCTTTTTTCTTATTGATTGATAGGAGTTTTTTATATCTAAGGGACATTAATCTTTTGTCTATGAGTTATAAATACTTAAAATTTCAAAGAATCAGTGTGGTACAGACCAGTTCTCTGACCTTGGTGCAATTAATTTAGAAGTTAATAATAAAAAAATAATTTTTAATCAGCATATATTTGGAAACTTAAAACTCTACTTCTCAATAGCAAGGACAAAAATATCATAATGGAAATTTAAAGTACTTTGAATGTTATGAAAATGCCACAGATCAAATTGTGTGGGATATAGCAAAAATGGAACTTCAAAGGCAATCCATAGCCTAAATGCTTATAAAAGAAAACTAGTAAGATTGAAAATTAGTGAGCTATGTAAAATAATAGAACAAATTTAAAGAAAGTGGAAGAAAAGAGAGAATAAAGGGTAGAAATCAAATAAACAGAAAATGAAAATAAAGTAGACAGGATCAGTACATACATATCTCATATTATTGTACTTCACTTTCTTGCGCTTCACAGATGTTGCATTTTTTTACAATTTGAAGGCAAGATCCTCCACCAGCAAAAGATTACAACTCACTTTATTGCAGTATTCGCTTATTGCGGTGGTCTAGGACCAAGCCCACAGTACTTTTGAGGTATGATTGTAAAGATAAAAGTTGTTTCTTTGTAAAGTCTAATAAAATGGACAAATCTTTGGCAAAGTACAAAGAAACAATATTAGGAATAAAAATACGAGTCTTGTAGAGATTTTAAATAATAAGACTGTGAAGTCTAATAAAATGGACAAATTCTTAGGAAAACTATCATTTAGTAAGGCTGACTTACTAAAAAGAAATAAAAAATAACAGACCATTCCATATATTACACAAACTCTTCCAGAGAAAGGGAAAAAAATGTGAACTCTCCAGTTGGCATAATTTTGATTCCAAAATCACCAAAGAATGGTATGAGAAAGGAGTCAAAAACCCAATCTCTTTATGAACATAGATGCAGAAATTCTATATAAAATATTAGCAAACCATCAATATATGGGAAAGGAAATACATCTTGACTAAGGAGTTACCCAAAACTCAATCAGAAATGTTAAAGTGTCATTCATCCTATTTTTTGAATAACAAAACCCAATAATTATCTCAATAAAGGCAAACATTTGATATAATTCAGTATCCATATTAGACACTCTTAGAATAGGAATAGATGGAAACTTTCTTAACTTCATGAAGACTAACAAAAACTTATAGAAGACATCACTTTTAATGGTGAAATGTTAGAAGCATTCCCTTTAAAATCTCTTTCATTTATCATCATACTGGAGATTCTAAACCAGCCTAGAACAATAAGAAAAAGAAAATAATATAAGGATAAAAAAAGAAAAAATCAAATTGTTGTTAATTTATAGCTGCTATGATTGTTAACATGGAGAATCTTCAATAGTTTGTTGGCAAATTATTAGAAATAATAGCATTTAGCAAGGTGGCTAGATGAAGACCAATAAACAAAAATGAGTTGCCTTTCTATATATCAGTATATTAGCCAGGTTTCTTCAGAGAAACAAAACCAATAGAATGTATAAAATATACATAAGAGGCGATTTGTTACTGGAATTGGCTTACACAGTTATGGAGGTTAAAGAGTCCCATTGTCCGCCGTCTGCAAACTGGAGAAGGAGGAAAGCTGATGGTGTAATGCGGTTGGGGAGAGGGGATGCTCATGGTGTAAACCTTGACTTAAATGCAAAAGCTGGAGAACCAGGAGTGCTGATGTCCAATGCCTGAGGACAGAAACAGAGGATGGCTCAGCTCAAGCAGAGAGACAACTGTCCTTCCTCCACAGTTTTATTCTGTTGGGGCTCTCCACTGATTGGATGGTGCCCACTCGCATTGGGGAGGGCCATTTGCTATATTCAGTTCACCAATTTAAATGCTAATCTTTTCCAGGAAAACCCTCAGATATACTCAGTTATCTGGTTATCTCTTAGCCCAGTCAAGTTGACAGAAATTTAACCATTACAACCCTCAACAAACAGAAAATACAGTTTAAAAGTCACCTTTTTATATTAGCAACATTAAAAAGACCCAAGTTCATGGATACCAAAATTCAGTATTATACAGTCATCAGATCTTTCCAAAGTCTTTCTGTAGATTCATGGAATTTCAATTAAAATTATATCAGAATATTTTGAGGACCTTGGTAGACTGATTCTAAAATTTATTTGGATGACCAAAGGCCCAAGAATAGAAAAGACACTCTAAAAGAAGAAAAAGAATTTGGGAGACTTACTTTACCAGATATTAGAACATATACAAAAATGTGTAGTAATTAAGACAGTGTTGTATTGGTACAGGAACAGACAAATAGACTCTTAGAACAAAACAGAGTCTGCCAAAAAGACGTCTGCGGTTAAGGACTTGACTTAGGCAGCACTACAGATCACCCAGGGGAGGCTATCCATGGCAATTTTTGATGTGAGAAAATTGGTTATCAAAGTGAAGAGAAAGAAGAAAGTAAATATCTAACTTATAATGTACATATAGAAAAAAAAATGTATACAAAGACAAATGTCCAGTGGATGAAAGACAAAGACCCAGTGGATGAAGAGAGTATAGGAGAATATCTATATGACCTGGGTAAAACTTTTTAACAGTACATTTTAGGCTAATTAAAAAAAAAAGATTGATTTGACTACACTGAAATGAAAACATCCTCATTATTAAAAGATACCATTAAATATGAAAAGAATAGCAATAAACTAGAAGAAATACTAGTAACTTAACAAAAAACCAGTATCTGGTATATGCAAAGAACTCTGAACCATTACAAAAAAGATAAAAGATCCAATAGTAAAGTAGACAAAAGTCATTTCACGAATGGGGAAAAATGTGAGTGACACGTAAACACATGAAAAGATGTTCAGCCTCATTTGTACTCAGGGCAATGCAGGTTATAACCAGCGAGATAGCATTTAATACTTAAGAGACTGGCAAAATTCAGAAATCTGATAATACCAAGTGGTGATTGGTTTTGTCAAACATAGGGAGTAGAGCTGGAGAAAGATGCTGGAGAAAATATCTTGTCATCAATATTCCATTGTAGGCATACTTAAAAATAGTCCCAGAGTATACCTGGGACCAAAAGCAAAGAGTTGGTGCCACTTTAGTTTAGAAACAAAAATGTCATTTGTGTATACAGTAAGAAGTATGTTTATCAACTTTTACTCAGAACAGGTTTTTCTCTTAGGCTTTTTATAATCAGATTCTCACCCCTGCCCCAGAATTGACTATTTTCATGAAGGAATATTATTTCATTTTTTAATTACTTCACACCTTTTTCATGTTCAAGTCTGAGATTCTGGCTTCACATCTTCTATATTTACGGTGGTCAAATGTATATAGGTTGCCTACTAGTAAGCTCTCAACAGTTTATATACATTCCTTTCTTTCTGATGGTCAGGAAATCTATGTAGGAAATGTCTAGGAGTCCACAACTATGAGAAATTCTACTTTTTATTGACAGTTTTACTTGGCACAGGTTGAGAAGGGAACTAACAAGGAGGGAGCTGTCTGTGCTCTAATCATTACTATCATGACTGTATCACTACTGGCACATGACGTGGTGAACACTGTTATCTCAGTGGATATTCTGCATGTAAAATACTGTTTAGAAACACATGTATGAAAGATGTTTCTAAGACTACTAGTTGCTTACAATTTTGAGAACATTTACACAATAGGAAGTTATTTTGCATTGTAGAAACTATTATGTTCTTAATTTTTTGTATGTGAATTACTTTTTTAACAGACAGTGGACTCAAGCCAGTGATAATTACAGAGCCAGCGAGTACAGAGGTGGTAGATGGAAACTTTGTTACTTTGTCCTGCAATGCCACTGGAGTGCCGGTTCCAGTCATTCGTTGGTATGACAGGCATGGATTGATAACTAGCCATCCGTCTCAAGTCCTTAGATCTAAATCCCGAAAATCACACTTACTAAGACCTGGGGGCTTTGACATGGAGCCTGTCCACTTGGTTGTGTCCCGTGCTGGCTCAAGCTCCCTGCACATCCAGGCTGTCACTCAGGAACATGCTGGGAAGTACACCTGCGAAGCTACAAACGAACATGGCACCACAAAGTCGGAAGCAGTCCTCACAGTTGGTGAGTTGCCATAAGAATTTTTTTTCAGGTGAATAATTTTCTTTGATAATAGGGGATAAAGTGCTTTAAAGTATTATTGTAATGAATCCAGCAATCTCTAAAGATTAATTTTTTTCCCAATGACAGTGAAGTGTAGAACTGTAGTTTTTGGTATTTGGCCTGAACATGAGCTGGACAGACCCTGGTCTCCATTTCTGATGTGTTTACTAAGCTTATAGTTGTCGTGTAGAAGCTCTCATTTGGGGGGAAGCCCAAGGTATGACTTCTTTTTGTGATTAATGCTTTTAGTTTTCTCAGCTACTGAAAATGTTGTTGCAGACATTTTTCAGGTGAACCTTGATAAGTACCGTATCCAGGCTACAGTGTTGGCTTTCACTGAGAAAGTAGAGTGAGGTTATGGTACTGTCACATAATACCTGCATGTGTATTTCCCTTACATTTATTTTTTTGATGGGATGTAGAATAGTCTTTATATTTTATTTTTAGTAATGATGACTTAAAAACTTTATATAGTTTTTTTCCCCTGTATTTTCATTTTGATATAACGGCATCTCTTTATTTTTTATTTTATTATTATTTTTAAATTAATTTTTTATGGTGACATTGGTTAATGAAATTCGATAAGTTTCAGTTATACACTTTAACAGTACGGCATATATATATTTACACTGTGTGTTCACCTTCCATAGTTAGATTTCTTTCTGTCACCACATATTTGACCCCGTTTATCCTGTCTACCTCCCCTAAAAAAACTTTATATAGTTTTTGAAGTACTGGTAGTAGAATAGCAATATTATTAAAATCAATTCAAACCTTAACATCAGTGGGCATTTAGAGCAGTGTTCCCAGCAAGTAGTCAGTTGAGTGCAGATTGTCACCATATTTGTCACGTGAGAGTCAGAGTATCATACAGCAGGGCCGCCTTTAGTCTTGGCACCCAAGGGCCCTGTTCTGGGCCTCTGTGTTAGAAGACTTCATATGGCCCTCTTCTGCCTGGGTCCTCAGGTCCCACATGTCAGAGAGTACATGGGGTCAAGGGGTTGCGCTTACCTGAGCCTGAGCCTGAGCCCATTTTCCTCCTTTTATTCAACAGATCTGGGGCTTTAGAAGTTCTTGCTTTAGTTAGTTTACAAGCTGGTTCCACACAGGTCTTTTCCGTGGTCCGTCCTCAAGAGTGAGGGCCACTCCACCAGTGTGCAGGTGCCCTTAGACTGGAGGAGGGGCCAGGGGTGGTCCTCTGCAGAGGACACAGAGGGTGATGCGTGCACTGGTCCTTCCATTTACATGTACACAATGGTCCCAGCCCTGGATGAGGCCGGAGGTAGGAAGAGAAGAGGGGGAGGCCAGAGACTCCATTTATATTCTTGTGCTACTCCACGAATGCCAGAGGTGGGAATGATGTGGAGGTTCAGTGCGCAGGCTGTGTTAGAATCCTGGCTCTGCTACTTAGGAGGTTTGTACCCTGGGGCGAATTACCGAACTTGGTCTGTGTTTGTTTCCTCATCTGTGTAACAGGCATAGTGTGGGCGCCCCGCTCATGTGGTCGATGTGAGAATTCAAGGAGTTAATACATGTAAAGTGCTTAGAGTGGTGTCTGGCAACAGAAATCCTTCAATAAATACTAAGTATTAGGTTATAATTATTACTAATTATTATTAAATTATAATTATCTCATGCGGTGGTTAAAGAAGGAAGAAAAAGTTACTGATTTTAGTAACCTTAAGAATCCTCAAATAAAGAAGGTAGTTGAGTATTGTATAAATTTATACATAAATATGTATACGTGTGTGTTTATGTATCTATTCTGCCAAGCGAAAATCAGAGTGGCTCTACACAAAATTGTTAGCTGTGAGACAGGTGTGATGCTGGCGCTGCTTGACTAGCATTTAGCTGAAGTGATTATTTTATGTAAATGTAGGGCTGAGGGAGCTGTTGAGGTTGTAGTCAGAGCTGATGAAACTAGACATTTTGTCTAAATGCCTTACTTTAAATATGATCTGAACAAGCCTTTAGAAGATACATAGCTACCTTGTTTAGATTAGATCTTCTTAGACCTTTAAGATCCCTTTCAGGATTTTATGCCTTGATAAATGCCATTTTTATGTGTAGTAACCCCATCACCTACATACATCCTACCTAAGTGGTCCTGTGTTGCCTCTTTTGCCTGCTGTCTAATAATTATTAAGATGGAGCTGACTTTATTAACACTCAGAACAGTACATAACAACCTGCTTCTTTCCATAGGAATCTGAGCCTTGTTAAATTCCAGCGTACTGACAGCTGCGTACTTTGTTATCGTGAAGGGGGAGGAGGCAAAGTCAATGAGAGAGATGACCCCCCGCCCCCTTTTTTTCAGAGACCTTGGGTTTTGAGGTCCTGGATGCACAAATATTTGTAGAGTGAGCTGTAACTCTTCAAAACTGTAATGGAGGTTGGCCTGGGTTTCCTAAACTGTTTGGGGTTGGGGCTGCTGGTGTGAGTGGTCACAGTGGAAACGCCTTTGACATATATGGTTATAGTCCCTATTCGATTAATTTCAACTCAGTCATTAAATTCATCACCATAGTGATAGTACTAAGAAAATGAGAGTTTTATCATTCACTTTTCCAATTCAAATAACATTCAACCTTACAGAAGGCTAGATGTCTATTCTGACAATTTCACAGAACTGTTTTGAAGCTAAATTGAAATGATGAATGTGAGACAACTTTTGAAAGTACTGTTAAGGCCTTATAAATGATATCTAGTATCTTGTGAGTGCTCAGATTATATTACTGGAAATAGTGGAGGAAGATAAATTGAATCTCCTTTTAAAAAGAGTTGTGGAAAAGTCTCATTGCATCCTGAATAACAGAAGTAAAATCTTGATACTCATACAGTAGACACAGGCTGTAGCATAAACTTTTTCTCATCCCTCTGTATAAACTGAGGCATGTGGTATTTTAGCTCTTCTACAGCCAAATACCACTTCCCAGTGGTAACCTGCCCAGAGGATCCACAAAACTGCTAATGATAAAGAAAAAAAAAAAAGTCCTTCTCCACTACCCTAAGCCACAGCTAATTACCCCCACTTGCTAGAGTGCATCTTGCATTAGCAGGCACCAGATCCCACCCTTAACATCAGCCCACGTTCTGACTCACTAGATAAACACGGCTGTTCCAGGAGCAATATTTTGAAGTTGTCCCAGTGAACTTAAATAGTTTTCTTCTATATTATTTTCTCACTAGCTTCTTGTTTTCTTTGATCGAGGATGCTTCTGGGACACCTTTTCTCTCTCTTAAACAAACAGAGAACTGACCTTACACTGTTAGTCCTGTTTTTTTCTTGGTTCTCTACTAAACTGCACTACTTCTAAAAACACACCCACCTTTTCCCAGAAATCTGACTTCACCGTGGAAAAGAAACTCTAACGTTGTTTCCTGTCTCCCTACCTCCACAAAAGCAGTCAAAAAAAGGAGACTTTTTTGTTGCCGGTATTAATAGCACTTTATAGAACCCAGGATGTCAATCCTTAGGTTTTATTGTGCTGGCAGTATATTTGTTTTCATATATAGCTCTCACTTTTCTACATCAGCACCACTAACATTCTTCTGCCAGCTGTTGTCACTTAGTCTCTCAGAGTCCTAATTCTTTATCTGTAAAGTGGGAGTGCTATGTTGTTTTGAAAATTAAATGAGATTATGTTTATTAAATGTCTGGCACAGTGCTTGACATACGATATGTGCTCAGTAATTTTTTTCTGATACATGCAACGTATTTATTATTTCAGCACAAATAAATTATTTTTACCTTCCTCGATATATTCTGCATGCTCCTAGTAGTATTATCTGCCATTTGATCTTTCTTTAGATTCACAGTTTCTTAAGCCTTCTTCAGTTCTGTCTAGATACAGGGCTTGTTTGGAAATAAGTAAATTCTTCCTTTATCTCTGCTGGTCTTATTTCATGTCTTCCTTCTTGAATGTAGATTGTTTTCCATGCGTACAGCAGATATTTTAGTTACCTGTTCCTGCGTAGCTGGCCCCAGAGATTAACAACTCAGAAGAGCAACCCCTTTATTATCTCTTACAATGCTGCGGGTTAACTAGATGCAGCTGGGTGCTCTGTTGGCCTTAATTGGGGTCTCTTATGCCAGTGTTATGAGATGGCACAGGGGCTGGAACATCCAAAGGGGCTTCACTCACATGGGTCCCACCTTTGTGAGCGCGAGAACCATGCCCCACTTCTCTCTCTTCACAGGGTTGGCTGGGACATCCGTATGTGGCAGCACAAAACCAGGAGCTGCTAAGGATTAAGGAAGCTGCTAAGGATTGAGGCTGGGAGAGCACAGCTTCACTTCTCCCTTCCCTTGGTCAGAGCCAGTCACAGGGCCAGCCCACATTCATCCAGGGAGGGGACTGCCCAAGGGTGTGAATACTGAGACGTATCTTTAGAAACTAGCTACCCAATAGGTCGTAGCCTAACTCCTGACCATTTCCTGTTTATGTCCCTTGTTCCCAAGGGAATGCGTTGCCCCTTGTGTTTAATTTACCAACTAGAGTTAAGGCTCCACGTTCTCGAACTTAAAATCTTCTGAGGTTAAGCTAGCAAAGGGTTGTTGTAAAAGAGGGAATGCTAGTGTAGAGCAAGTTAAAAACAACATCCTTTAAACTACTGTAACAATTAATTTGTTCCTTCATGAATAAGAGGTTGCTACTCGAGGTTAAATGTTTCCATGAATTATAAATTGAAATGTTACCTGTTTCTACTTCTAGGGCTCCAACTGTGCTAACAGTATCAGTGTGGACAGTTAGATCACTGTATAGAAGACACTGAAATAATGAATTTCTTCAATCTGTATCTCCTGTCTCTCTCCATTTCTCTGCAGTTCCTTTTGAGACAAATACAAAAGCAGGAATAGTGACACCTTCCGATGCCACTCTGAGCGATAAAAGAGATGGTTCAGAAACTGGATTATTGAGCTCATTTCCAGTGAAGGATCATTCCAGTGCAGTGGAACCACCATCAGAGAAAACTGCTATTGGTGCCTCTGTCCCTGATGCCCCCATCATTCTGAGCCCTCCACAGACCCACACACCAGATACATACAACCTGGTCTGGAGGGCAGGGAAGGATGGCGGGCTCCCAATCAATGCCTATTTTGTGAAGTATCGGAAGGTAACGTCTTCTCATTTATCATCTTTTCTCATACCTTAACTCTGCATGTATGGCATATACTTATTATCTTCCACTTTCATGGAGTGGCAGGAAACAGAACAAGATGTTCCAGGAGAGTGAAGTTGGGAAATATATCCCAGTAGGGTTTACCAGCTTATAAAAGTAAGAATGAGGAGTTCTGGCTTTTGAGCATTAGCTTCCCCTTCTCCTGGGTAGTGCCATTCATAATAAAATAGCCAATCTTTCTCCACTGCATAAAAAACAAAAAGAAAACAAAAACCAGTAAAAAGGAAATATGAATAATTTCCTCCCAAATTGGGATTCTAAGAACCCAGTAGCTTCTCAATATTTTTTAATCAAACATTTTAACCTTTTGCGTGTAAAGTTCTATAAACCACTTTTTTAAAAGTTATTCCTTCCCTCTCTAAGATAGTAGTATGTAGTTTATTTACCCAAGAAAGCAGTTTCTTATTAGAAACAACTTTTTGAACAAAGTCCTCTTGGATAATCTCTGAAAACTATTTGCTTTTCAAGTTGTCTTCTTAATTGTATTAGAATCTTACATTGTTTCGTCATTTATTATGGTAATCTTCTCAGTTGATTTTTTCAGATGTTTTCCCTCTAGCGGCTTGTATTAAAAGTAAAATGAAAAAAAAATCTCTTCCCTTTAATGAGACTAGTAAATGAATAATACGGGAAGAACTACATTCATATTTAGAATCATTTTCTCTGTTCAGGACATTTTGGTATCCATCATTTAATAGTAATATTTTTAATATCTGAAAAAATTAGATTTGCGAGTTTATTCACTGTTTCTAACCTGATGATTCTAGATGAAGGAAATTTCCCTGGTATTATCCACATGAAAACTTCCATGTCGTTGTCTCTTGGTTTCATTAATGAAGACAGAATGGATTGGATCTCTTTTTAATTTATTTCATCCAGCGTGTATTGAACAGCGTCAAGACATTAAGCAAGAATGCTGGAAATACATACTATATGATTATATAATCCATATACCATATACATACAAACATATTCTGATTTATCGTATCTATGCCTATTATGTATGATCATTAATACATATTATATGCCTATTTTATTCTCCCAATAGCCCGGTAAAAAAGGAGTATTGTTTCCATTACAAGCAAAGGGAACAAACTCTGGGAGATCAAAGAACTTGCTTGAGATCATAAGTTCGTGCTAGGTAGAGGATCCAGGAGTCCTTACAGTTAGAATTCCTAAGTTCTTGCTACAGGTCTTACATTTCTTAATGTGAAGCAATATCGTGTCTCTTTTATTTAAAGTGGTACGTCACTTCTCAAAATCTACCTAGAATTGAATGACTTCTGTTTTTTTATCAAATTCGAATGGAAGCTTTTTTTATTTTTATCTTTTTTGTCCTTTTTGTAATGGCCTATTTTCTCTTGAGTAGTTAGACGATGGTGTTGGTGTGGTGGGAAGCTGGCACACAGTTCGAGTCCCAGGAAGTGAAAATGAGCTCCATTTAACAGAACTAGAGCCATCTAGCCTCTATGAAGTCTTGATGGTAGCAAGGAATACAGCAGGTGAAGGACAACCTGCCATGCTTACCTTCCGAACTAGCAAAGGTAAGTATAATCTTCCATCAAAGCAGTGAGCTGGCTGTGAGCTTGATGTCACTTTATTAATCAATGTTCTTTTGGGTAGTAGAGATTCTTAATTCTACTATATTCTACTAATTCTACTTAATTCTACCATATTTTATTAATTTTACTATAAGTTCACTAATAAATAAGCTTATTATAGTACCTTTTTTGGCCACATTTGAATGGTTATATTCCATTTTACCCAATATTCCACAAACATTTTTGAGACTTTATGATATATATAGGCCTAAAGGTAGGTGAGCAGTGGAAGCCAAGATGATCAAGAAAAGATCCATTCTAATGGAGCTTTTACTTTGCTAACCTACAAGGCAAAATTTCAATTTAGCTAATATTTACCAAGTGCCTTCTATAGGCCAGACATAAACAAAATAGACAAAACTCTTTGTCCTCATGGAGCTAACATTGTAGTTGGGAGAGGCTTATACCTAAGCTATAAGTACATTAGAAGGTGGTGAGTATTGACAAAAGAAATAAATTAGAGGGCCGATGTAGGAAGTGTATGGGGTAGCAGTTATCATAGTTTAAGCAGGTGGCCAGAGAAGTCCTTAGTGAGCAATCGACAGCAGAGCAGAACATTAAGGAGGTGAAATGGAAAGCCATATCACTATCTGGGAAAATAAGTAACATTTCATCAGAGAATAGCAAATGCAAAGGCCCTGGGGTGGGGTGTGCTTGGTATACCCTAGGAACACTGAAGGGGCCACTGTAACAAGAACAGAGTAAGTGAGGAGAGCACTCAGAGAGATGACAGGGTGGCCAAGTCACACAGTACCTTGTCAACATTGACTTTGACTCTGAATGAGCTGGAAGCATTGGAGGAATTTGAGCAGAGTTGTGACATGATCTGCTGAATGTTTCAATGGACAGTTCCGGCTGTAGGGTAAAGAGGAGGGCAAAGGTGAAGGCAGTGACCAGAATATCATAAGTATTAGGAAAGATTTACAGAGAAAATGCCAGAGGCGTACAGAGAAAGGATATTCTTTCTGTGAGTGGCTTGTGAGGGTCAGCTTGATGGAAAAGATGCCATCAGAACTTGGCTGTAAATGAACAAAACTTCAGTGAGCAGAGATGAGGATTGGGTGGAAGAGTGTTTTATTAATAAAAGGAGGTATGATGAATGAGAAGCAAGTATCAGTTGGCTTTTGAGAAGGACCTTTACATCTAGTTATTGAGACCAGCCAGAAAAATAGTGGCTATTTCTTATTTGAAATGTATTTTGAGTCAATTTTCATAATTAGTTCTTAGTTGTTTATAGTGTGACCAATAAATAATGAATAATAAGCATGTATTTCAGTTTTAAAATAATCACCCAATTTCACTTTTTACTTCTTGAAATTTTAAAACTTAACATGACAGGTTTTCTGTGAAGAAACTTAACAGAAGCTCTTTAATAATGAATTTTGTTTTAGAATGAAACTGTACAGTAAAAAGAAAAATGGACACAGTTTGAAAACCTTTGTAATCATTTGACTTTTTCATTTGTGTTGTTTTCTGTGTATAAATTAAAGTTAGTCTGATGAAAAAAGACATTTTAGTTTTCTCTTTAACGTACTAGAGAAAGTAATTTTTAAAGTTAGTTCCTCAGAGTAGCTAAGTATTTATAATGTAGGTCTTAAATTTAGACACTGTAACAAATAAGTTCATATATTTGTAGCTATGTGCCAGTTGAGTTCATAGTATCTTTTTTTTTTATTTTAACATATACACAGAAGCTTATGTTACAGTATATGTTTTTTAACCTTTCTAGAGAAAACAACGTCATCGAAAAACACCCAGGCGTCCTCCCCACCCGTGGGCGTTCCTAAGCGCCCCGTTGTTTCAGAGGCTGCAGACCACTTCGGAGTGGTGCTGACAGACTCTTCTAGGCACAGTGGAGGTAAAAAGAAGAATCTTCATGTTGTTCATTCTGTTAGTTTACAAATGTAACTGACCTGGCTCAGATTATTTGGGAGGTGGAGTAGAATGGGGTGTTTATTATTCAGATTATATCCTACCGTGTAGCTCTTTTAGGTCCTATTTCAGCCATTGTTTTTAATGTCTTGTAGTATTCAAATCTTGGTAACCTAGTGTCATGATTGAGATTTAAGATATCATACTCAGATTAAAAATGTTCTGGTACTAAATTTCATAACTCACAAGAAGGATTTTTCTGACTTCTCTCTGGCAAGGAAAGCAAATTTACATTTTGAACTCTGAAAATGGTAGTACCTATACTAAGATTTAGCTTTTTCTTAATAGAGTGATTATAAGTCATACTCAGTTTCATTGCTATATCTTGTCAATTTTATTAGATATCATAGCAGTAAAATCTTCAAAAGACTTATTTTTAGTATTTAAGTTTCACACTTATCAATTCTGTAGTTACAGTGGTAGACACTGTACTAAATGCTGGCACAGCAGAGATAAAGTAAATTTTGCTTTCAACAAGTTTACTGTATGTGGATGATATAGACAGCTAAGCCAATAACAATATAGTGGGTAACATGGACAAATTAATCCATAACAATGATTTTACTTCATTATGTCTGGGATTCTACCTTTGGTATTGTGAGATCACAAGAGAAATATCTAATTACCCATTTGATAGAGAGGAGGCCAAGTGAAGCAGTAGATGATGTAGCTGAATGAAGAAATATGGAAAGAAGTTCTAGGCAAAGACAGCTTTTTGTGCAAAAAGACAGATGAATGACATGTATTTCATTTAGAGATTTAGAGATTAGAGATTTTATTCAGTGCGACTAGTTGCTGTGAGGAATGACTAGAGTAGGGGAAGCAGGTGGGTGACTTGTATAATGCACTTAACAATTTAATCTTTTCCTGAAAGCTATAAAGAACCCTAAAGGCTTTTAAAGAGGGGGAAAGGAGGTATGGCCGAAGACAAGGCTAGAAGAACAATGAGGATAGTGCCAGAGTGAATAGAGAAGGAGGACATAAATGACAGATGAAGGGAATTGAGTACATCAAATGAGAGGGAGAAATGGTGACTTGGGCTTGGGCAACTAGGGCCCATTTATCAAATAGGTAATAAGAATTTTTAGGTTATGATTATGGATTCAGTTCTGGAAATTATGAGTTTGCAGTTATCCAAGTAGAGATAGCCATAAGAAGTGATTTATTTAATCTTCACAATAGCCCTGTGAAGAAGGTAGCACGTTTATATTACAGATTAGGAAACCGATACTCGAGACGGTTATGCAGCTTGCCTGTGATGATCCAAAGTGGAGGGACTGTTGTTCAAATTCAGATTTTTTTCAACTCTAAGTGTAGTGTCCTTTCTTTTACCCCGTAACTGTCATATGCTATTTCTTTTAGATATTGAAGATATTCTTCTCTGTAGAGGTTCTCCACCCTGCCTTCCCGCCCCGCCCCCCCCAATAACTTTCTTTTCCTATTTGGTCTGTGTTCTTTTATGAGATTTAACCCCATGTGAATCAACATAAGGAAGTTATTTGGTTACTTGGTATTAAAAAGGTTCACTAACAGTTCTATTCATTCTGTTTCCACTGCTTTCTAACTTTAAAGGAATACAGTAAGTATCACTTAAAGTTGCCTGCTTTGAATATATTCCTCTTTTTATCCATTAAGCAATTTATGTTTAAAATGCCACAGTTTTCTCCATACAAGCACCAAATACAGCATTATTTTGTTCATTCTTATGTACTTGTATGCAGATTGAAGATGTGTTGAGACAGAGGGGACAGGCAGAGACAAGGGTCCCTTGGTGACTTTAGCAGAGCAATGCGACCATGGCTTAAGAGTGGGTCCTCCTTGGTCCAGCTCTAGAAACTTGATTGTTAGCATGCCAAAAGAGAGTCAGCCTCTTAAGAAACTTCTCACTTTTACAAAATTCAGTCAATTAATGTAAATCAGAGTGGCAGTATTACTAATTTGTGATGTAACTGTCATACAGACCAGGTCGTTTCTGTCAGCATTCTTTCCTTGTAGGAACCACATGGGAAGCCAGTTAGAACCACACAGTTGCTTGGTCAGCAAGAAGAGTTAGGTACATGGTTTAAATGGCTTATATTTCCACCTGCTGCCGAGTCTGGACCATCTAATCTGTGGATTAGGACATCCCTTCCCCTTGGCAGTGCAAACTGAAAACTGCCGTATATATTAGCTCTCTGAGACCCGTTTTTCTACATGTTCTGTGGATGATCGTGTGGATCATCTATTTTCTTTTAGCACTTTATTACATATCCTGTCTTCCTACTTTCATCCTGAGCAGTGTTCTCTCTTCCCATTATTAACTGTATTGATTTTATTCATCAAATTTTATGTCTATTTACCGCTTGCAGTCTGTTTTTTGGAGTAGCATTTCTATAGCCTTGAGGTATGTTACATCATAATCTGTCGATTGTTTGCCGAATGTGTTTTATGCAGCTTGTATTGATAAAGAAAAACATTTAAATAAGAACACAATTTTGAAAATTTGCTATGTTATAACCACAGTCAGACTCGAAGCACCAAATAATTACTAATACACATTTTAGCCATGATTTCAAAATAGCATGGTCTCAATTATCAATCTCACTAACTTTCAGTTTTTTAGAGATAATTGTCAAGTTTATAGGTTATTTTTACTTTTCTTCCTTTTATTTCCTGTATTTGGCCATTTCATTGCCTTTTATCAGAGGACAGGAAGATAGTCATAATATTATTGACTCTGGCAAAGTTTGAGGAACCTTTAATAAAGAGATGTTCCAGACTTATTCGTTTTAGTTTGAGTTATTCTTGTTTCTGACACTGTGGGTTATTGAAGGGATTGTTTTTGTTTTTAGTTCCAGAGGCCCCTGATCGGCCGACCATCTCCACTGCATCAGAGACATCCGTCTACGTCACTTGGATCCCTCGGGCCAATGGGGGTTCTCCAATCACTGCTTTCAAGGTTGAATATAAACGGATGAGGACTAGTGATTGGCTTGTTGCAGCAGAAGATATTCCTCCTTCCAAACTCTCTGTAGAAGTTCGTAGTTTAGAGCCAGGTAGTAATATTCAGACATTTTCTTTTTCTTTTTTCTTTTCTTTTCTTTTTCTTTCTTTTTTTTTTTTTTACCATCAATACTGACTCTAGGTACATATTTTTAATAATCATATAGTCTTCTAACTGTTAAAGTAATGTGAGCTTATTGTATAAAAATTTGAAAATAAACTGTAAAGAAGAGAATAAGTCACCTGAAACCCACCCATTCAGAGATAACCATTGTTTACATTTCGGTTTATCTCTTTCTAACCTTTTTTCTCTTTTTAATACAAACTGGGCTCATGCCCTAAACATTGTTTTGTGACCACATTATCCCCATATTATATCATGCATTTTCAAATATCATTAAAAATTCTTCAGAAACTCAACTTTTAATAACTGTATGTCTACCATATAAGTATACTGTAATTTACACAATCCATTCTTTATTTCTGGGTTTTAGATTATTTCTAACAGCAAATGAGTAGAAACAGTGTTGTCATGACATCTTTGCATGTATGTGTGTATGTGTGATTTGCCGTGAATGGATATTTTAAGAGAAAAGCTGCTTGTTATTTTACTACGATTGATTGATCTGAGGATGTATCTCAGCATAGTTATACTCAGTGTTTAGTCTTGCGGAAGTGAGATAACACCCCGACACTTCTTCATTATGTAAGTTTTGTTTCAGCAGAGGAACTCTCCCCACCCCCAATATCTTGAGGCTATATGAAAAAATTGAACCGTAAAAGAGAAATGCAGTAATCACAGATAATACTTTCTCTTTTACTTGTTTAGGTTTCATGACCATTTTTGTTTATAGACTTTAAAATATACTTTAGTAGCAAATGCCTGTGTTTGTCTAAACAGACAACATGAGAGTCTAGGAACGTGATGTAGGTGTAGTTGGGAGAAGATGGTAGTTTTAAAAGTGTGTGAAGCTAAGTGACATTTTACAGATAGAAAATGTTGTCTTCAGAAGCCCAATGGTTATTTTTGAGCCATTAGGAAGCTTGCTTTAGGAGTCTAATTTATTCTTTAGACTCAGATTTTCAGAAACTTACAGCTCTTAGCATTTTTTTAAGTTCTTAAATCTGATACTAATAAATGCCTTCTGTTGTAGTTTGAATCTGCTCCCTCTTACCCTGATACTAGTAGAATCAGCGACATCACCCACACCAGCACCTCTTCATAAATGTACTCACCATATTAAACTGCTTCAGTCGTTTCTTTCAGAGGGAAAAGAACGTGGTTTTGAGCACAGAAACTTGAACTAATATAATACTGTATTTGATGGGTGTGACTTTAGAACAGGATGGTAAAAAGAGCAAATGTGATCTTTTCTGTTCTCTGCCGCCTTCCATGATAAACATCGTTAACTCTCTCATGGTGTTTAGATCTTGGAATCTTAAATACAATACATTTAAGCAACTACTAACAGTTGATAGAAATTGGCAAGTGGGTTGAAATCTACCATGTAGGCTGTAGAGTACATTATGGTTATGGCATAATTGTCATATTTTGAATATTATATCTTCAGTTCTCTTATGACAGGTTTTTTAAAATTCCGTTTTTTTTCTCTTCTCAAAAGGTTCAACATACAAATTTAGGGTCATTGCTATCAACCATTATGGTGAGAGTTTTCGGAGTTCGGCATCTCGTCCTTATCAGGTGGCTGGGTTCCCCAATCATTTTTCTAACCGTCCAATAACCGGACCTCACATTGCGTACACAGAAGCTGTCAGCGATACTCAGATCATGCTAAAGTGGACGGTGAGTAAAATGTCTTCTCTAATGAGAAGATTTTCCGGTTTCGCCATGCTGACAATCAATTTAATATTCTCGTGACATGATAACAATAAACAGCAAATTTTCGAACTTTTCAGTGAGGAGAAATTGAAGGACACAGATATTTGTCTAAAGAACATATAAATGGGGCAGAGTTAAAAATAAAATTGTCGCCTCCTCAGTTCTCATCAAAGTGTTAATTGCCATTTTATGATTCGTTCATTTTGAACCAAATGTACTTTTATGCCTTTGAACCTTATGAAACACGTCGCTTATTTTTGTTTAGCCCTGAAGTAAGCTAAATGCTTTTAATACCTTTGAATACCTTTGAATAAAATTAAGAATGGCCATTAAGGATTTTTGCAAAATGAATCTAGAGAAATATTGCCACACAGATACATAAATCTTAATGGATTTGAAGGTTAAATTTATTTTTGCCTTTGACAAGTCTTTGCTTCTGTTTTTTAGTACATTCCATCAAGTAACAATAACACTCCCATTCAAGGATTTTATATTTATTACCGGCCAACAGATAGTGACAATGACAGTGATTACAAGAGAGATATTGTAGAAGGTAAGCTGGGGTCCCAATAAAGGAGTTTTGGAGAAAGAAGGTTTATAAATATTACAAAAAACATCATCCCAGGTTAGGAGAGTAAAATATGTAGTGGTATATGTACTATTACTTTGAAATTTTCCCAAAGAAAGATAGTTTTTTCAATATAATGTGTATAGTAGCTTATATTTTGGTTATAAAAACAGTCATTTACAAAAGTATGGGGAGATATGATTTGTCAGTAGTTCATCTGAAAAAAAATTTTTGTTTTCTGTTTTGTTTAAATGAATAATGACCTGCGTATAAAAATCAACTGCAACTTCCATATTTTAAAAGATAATGCCTCGATCAACAGTTCCACTGAGGTTTGTACTAGAATGATCACATCTTGAGCATGTTATCTACTTTTAGAGATGCTGAGAAATTGGAATATATGTAGAGAAAAAACAGCCCACGTGGTGAAGGGTGTTGAAACTGCCTTTCTACAGCATTTAAAATATCATTTGGAACTTTGCATATGCTCTGAAGGCCCCACATGATCTGGCCGGCCCTGTGTATTCCTTATGTCATGTACCTTTTCCTTTCTCTGTGTCGTCTGTCACACATTGGCCTTCTTTCAGTTTCCTTGTGGTTGCCAAGATCTTTCTTGCCTCGGGACCTTGGCACATGACAATACCTGCTACCTACTGCGCTCATCTCCCAAGGCTTTATCTAGGTGTTCCACTTTGTTATGTGCTTAAATATTTGTTCATCAGATAACCTCCTTCCACTTACATGGCATACCCTTGTTATAATTTCTAATTGTACCCTTTACATTTATTTCATAGAAATATATCATAGTTTAGATGTGTGTGTGAATGTATGAAATAATTTGCTTCAAGATTGTCCTCCCACTAAGTGTTAACCTCCTGTGGGCAAAGGGCCATAATTCCCACTGCTGTAGATCTAGTCCATACAGTGGTGAGGAACTCAGTATTTATTGAATGAATGAATGAATGAATGAATTCTAGTCCATACAGTGGTGAGGTACTCAGTATTTATTGAATGAATGAATGAATGAGTGAATGAATGAATGAAGTCCAAAAAGAACAATGGAATGTGTGGGGGTGATCAGGCTAAAAAAAAAGGTGATTAACAAGCAACATGACAGCTGTCTTCAGATATTAAGGACTTAAGTGGAAGATACACTCAATCGGTCGGAGGAGGGACAGTTAAAAGGGAGTAGTCTAAAGGAAGAACCCTCTAACCTTGTATTTCTAACATAGGTTCTGTCACAAAATAATAAACTCACTAGTTTTGGAGGTGCTGTCAGTAATTTCTTGGAAGGGATTATTGCTTTTGGAGGAAGGCTTCTTCCAAGGCCTTTTTTCACTCCAAGGTTCTGATCATTTGAAATATTACTTTCCTAATGGACCATGTCAGAAAATTGCCCTGAGCCAAGGTTATTTTCATATGACTACTTGACATCAAATACTGGGTACAGTTTTTGTTATAAGTAGTCCTACAATAAATTACTTTAAATATGCTATACACATCATTTATTTTACATATCGTAGCATTCCTTTTAATGTTTATTCAATGGAATTACTTTTGTAATGTAATGACAAATTTATCATCTGTTTTAATACCTGGTGCATAGTAGGTGTTCAGTATATATTTGTTGAACGAAAGAATGATTGTTTCTCTTAACCTAGAAAAGTAGAAAAGAAATTAGTCCCTAAAATCCACTTTAAACAAAGAATTGGGGAAATGTGGAAAGATAATTGTTAATGGTAAAACCGTGAGGTCAAGATAGTCGCCATCTTGAGAGAAAAATGACTAGAAGAAGCAACAGGGGACCTTTGGGTGCCAGTAATATTCTCTTTATTGATGTAGGTGTTGGACTATGTTCAGTTTGTGAACATTCAGTTAGCTGTACAGTTCTGGGCACTTTTTCCATATGCATATTTTATTCCTTAAAAAGGGTATTTAAAAAAAGAAAAGGAAAGAATTGTGACAGTTATACATTTTAGTCCTACCTAGGTCTTCATTTTAGTTTAGCTGGGTTAGGAGAGTGGGCTGTCAGCTTTTTATTTTTAAAATCTCTTGACAGAGGTTAAACATTTGTTATAAAACAGTTTTAAACAAGGCAAATGTAAATAAAATGAACATCCCTCTCTGTCTCTTCGTCTCTGTCTCTCTCCTTCTCTCTCTCACTCTCCTCCCAACCCTTCCCAATTCTCTCTAGAAATATCTACTAGTAAACAATTTTAAAGTATATTCTCTAGTTAAATCTTTGAACTTTTATGAGCTTATGTGATGTGAATATTGAGCGTGGAACTGAGAAATTACTTTAAAGGAGCTTTTGTATCCAGTAGTAGAGTCTGCGAATGTGAGCTTTGCCTGATGGTTCACAGAGAACTTGTTTATAAACTTAATACACAGAGCAGTTAGATGTTTAAGTGGGCTTCACTGTGCTGTGTAATTTGCTTATTCCTTATTTTCAAGTTTATGCGTTTGAAATTCTTTTTGTGGCAGTTGGAAACTATTGGCCTGTTCTCCCAAACCAAGGAACAAAAGTATTTATGCTTCGTACGTAAAGCTGTCTTTAAAGTTTTAGATTACTTATTTATATTGACTCAAAATTTTTAAGCTTTTGAAAAAAAATGAAACTCTATTACATTGTTAAAGAATACAATAAGAGGACAATTATATTAAATTACCTTATTTCTAAATTAAGTTCTGCATTTAGGTAAACTGTAAATGTTTCTAGCATACCAATGCTTTTGTGCTGAATATTTTTACCTTGTAAAGTTGAATTTCAAATAAATCCAAGTAGTCAGTCATTTGATCTTAAAGTCTGTGCTTTGGCTTCTCATCTTTTCTAAGATATCCTCTGAGAAAAAAATTGCTAAGCTTTGGTTAATTTTAAACTTAACAGTGCACCTAGTTGTCTTATTCATCAGTGATCAGTAAAAATTCTTTCTCTCTGCCAATATTTCCTGTAGTTTTAGCCATTGGAATAATTACAATCACAATGGACTATTAATCTAACAAGATATGTATTATTTTAACTGTTTTCTCGTTAGTAACATATCAGAAGCTTAGTCTAATTCCATTTTTACTACTGCTATGAAAGGAAAACTTCAAAACTAGTGTAGTAATTATTCAAGAGAATGTTTATAGTTAGGTGAGTGTAGGGCTGGGCCAGAAAAGAGCTAAGGAAAGAGGGAAAAAATAGAAGTTTTTAGAAAGATGTTGGAATTTACGAATAGGTCTATTCTAGTCTCAACCAGATTTTGAGTCGTTTCTTTTAAGGTTCTCTTTACATTTATAAATGGGCATAGATTTCCTTACTGACTAAGCCTTTCGAATCTCTTGATCCTAAAACAAGCAGGTTTCTATCTTATAAAAATCTTTATCTTATGAAATGTGGGTCTTTATGAATAAGGGATTTTGTATTGATGATCTGGAAAAGGGATTGTACTTCCAGATTAAAATATTTTTGTCTGCGTTGAATTAGGAAGGAACCTGGTCCTATCAGTCCAGATCTGAATTGTACGTGTGGTTCAGTTTTTTGTTTTTTTTTTTCTGCCCCTTTAATTAATTCTTAAATCAGTTGGTGGTATAGTTGAGTTCCTAAGAAATAGTGGAAACAGTTCGAAGAGGTACTTTCTAAGAGAGATTAAAGGTGCTTGAACAGTTAATTAAGTCTGGCAGAAGTGTCTTGTTTATTAAAGTTTGTCACAGGTCCATGGAAGTAAAAATGGAGAGTGATTTATACTCAAGTGTTCAGTTTAGGAGTGTTTCTAAATGAAATGTTGGCTGTAGGCCATGGACAACAGACTCATTCTATTATAGATACTTGTGTGGTTTGGAGACCCTGACCCAAAAGAAAAGAAATAGTTGGAGCAGTAGCCAAGAGTTTTCTGTAGTGGATTTTGCTTTTTGATTATTCTCAACCATTTATTTAGGCATTTCATGTCATGTCAGTTCATGTCATGTTCATTACAACAGAATTGAGAGTTTCGCTAAGGCCTGTCTTGTAAATGGTCACTTGTTCTGGAAAAGGCACCATTTGCTGAGTATTGCTTCCTGGTGAGTAGACAGAAGAGATTGACTTACTGGGCTGACATAGAGAATCAAAAGACTGAGGGTTTTTGTTTGTTTGTTTGTTTTGTTTTTGCTTTTGTTTTAACCTCTGCCTAAAATTAACATGTATTTTATGAAAGACCACTAATTATTTGTTACGAAACAAAGTATTACTACCAACACATAGTATAGCTTTAATTCAGTTTATCTCTTTTCTATATCTTTTTTTTCTTGTAATAGAATAACTCTTTATCTGTGGTGCATTATTAATATACTTATATTAAGTACATTTTTATTGAACAAACTGACTATATGGTAATGGATGCTGCTCCAACCTCATTTTGAAATTATCGAATAATTTTATTGACAGTATCATTTAGGTGTGTGGTATGTGAACCTTATGTTTTATTTTCCCCTCTAGGTTCGAAGCAGTGGCACATGATTGGGCATCTGCAGCCAGAAACCTCTTATGATATTAAAATGCAGTGCTTCAACGAAGGAGGAGAAAGCGAGTTTAGTAATGTGATGATCTGTGAAACTAAAGGTAGGAGAGGGGTGAGAATTTGTGCTTTTTCCCTGGACAGTACTAGATTCCAAACTCTGCATTATTCCTTCTGACGATTGATATATTTACCTGAGGAAATTTCTGCTTTGGACTGTTTTGTAGGTGCATACATTTAGACCATCCCAATGGAAAGTATAATATGTTGGCTAGAGTACTTGTCTAAAAAAATAGATTACATAAACATCAATCATATTCATTAATTTCTGTGTCACTCCTGAGTAAGTCACTTCCCTTCTCTTTTTCTCCATCAAAAGAATAGAAAGATTTGCTGACTCATTTCTGAGATTGCTGTGAGAATTAGAACACGAAATAAAAAGTATAAGAATTTTAAGGACAAGTGCCACATATGTTTAAAGTGGTTTCTTAAATGACAAATATGTATAACACCAGTTGTTTAATTAAGTATAGTAGTTCAGAATTCGCAGTCACTGATTCTAAACTGAAGTTCTCAATTTTGCCTACATGCATAGATTAACTGAAATATTACCATCTTTAAAAAACAGAAGATACCACATATGAATAATAGAAACCACTAATATGGATATTTACAAAGGAAAAGCACTCGTGTCCAGTCTCAGTTAATCTGACAGTAAAAGAGACTATGTTCCTTTTTAAGAACCAGGGAAAACTTCCTAGAGTCGTAGTAGATTCCCCCACCCCTCCTCTGCCTCACTGGACAGAAGTCAGTCACGTGCCCCCCAGCCCTTCCCTGGGATGAGCTGGTGGACCAGGATCTACTCCAGAGTTCTCTGGGCTTCAGTGGATACCTAAACAAAACCGGGGCTCTGCCTGCATGCGGGGAAAAAGCCGGTTGACTGGGCTATGCAGCCATTAGCATCTGCTGCAGGTGATTTTATTATCCCAGTTTAAAATGAGGAAACTGAGGCTCCGAAAGATTGGATTATAAAGCCAAGACTTCGTTCCATCTTTTTATTCTAAAACATTTGTCTTTCTGCAGCAGAATCCGTATTAAATCAACATGTAAACATATCCATACATAGACCTTTAGACTGACCTTGAATATCATTCGATTAGCACATATTTAAGTGCCTTTTTGTACTAGGCACTGTGATGTGTTAATGGGCATTTCTTATTCACCTCTAGAGTGCTGTGATCCTCAGAGCAAAATTAAATTACAATGAAATTTATTATCTCTGTCCCCAAGACATTAAAGAATCTAGCCGGATAAAACATAAAACATAGACAACGATGTAATAATCGTATTGTTTAAATAGTATTACAGTAGCACTATAATGAGGCATACTATTATAGACACAGCTATAGCACTATTATAGCTGAGTCTATAATAGTATGCCTCATTAATTGACCTTGCTGGGGAATAAAAGCTACCTACAGACTTTCAGATCAATGCAAAAAGAAAAAACTTATTTAAAATGTTAACAGTTCGTGTCGAATGACCTTATAAAATGTATTACACAATTCCTAGCCTGTTTAAATAAAACATATTATATACAATTTCACCTTTAAAGAAATGACTTAAGGTTTTTGTGAACAATGATTGTCTTATCTTTAGTAATTCAGGAAATGTTTCGGGATTGACAGAAGGCCCACTGTTCCCACTGCCCTCAAAGATTATAGACTGTCAGGGTTTTCTTTTAGTTCTTTCGTTTCTTGTTATGTTTTTCATGTTACCTTCTTTTCTTCCACACTCTGAGCTGTCTCTTCTTATTGATAACTAATGGGTCTGTCTCACTCACCCTCCATCATCGTAAAGGTTTTTAACTTTAGCCAGAGGTTGGCAACCAGATTATCAAGCTTGGTAGAATTATGACTAAATTAAGAGTAAATAAAGAGTGAATAAAGAGTGAATTAAGCCCGAAGGACTTCCCTGTGAGTTATCATGATCTTTAATGTATGACCTGTAACATCCATTGTGCTTCAGAAACTTGTTTGTTTTCTTTAGAATTGGCAGGGATCTGAGAATTGTTTGATCCAACATACCACCTGAAGTTGAAATTTCCTTTAGAGCCTCTGCCAAGTATTCATCCAGCTTTCAGTGATAGAGAGCACTTTCTTTTGAAAGGTGGCCTCTACTTTAGAGATTCCAAGCTCTCTTCTGAGTAAAGTCGCTAGAAAATTGAATCCCAGTGTAATGTTTGTTGAAGTAGATTTTTTGAAAGACCACTTGCTCCTATGGGTTGTTAGGTGCTAAAACATGAAATATAGTATAGTAAGTAGTAATTATAACAAAATTGATTGAACGCTGCCATGTGCTGGGTTCTCTTCTAAGTGCTTTACGTGGACTAACTTGTTTACTCTTCATTACAACCTTGTGACGGAGCTGTTCTTCTTATCCCCATTTTCCACATACAACAACTGGTTCATAAGGTTAAAATCATACAACTGATGGTAAATAGTGAAGCAGGATAGAAACTTAGGCAGTCTACTCCCAGAGACTGGACTGTCAACCACTGTGCCCCATTGCGTTTCTATGACGTTTAAAGCATTAAGAGCATGTTGTTTGTAGACAGAAAAATGTGGGACTTGAGTCTCACCTGTTATTAGCTTTTGTTATCACTGTTATACCAATGAACGAGGTAAAAGTATTGCACTTACATGAGCTCCAAAAGTTTTTGGTTTTGGAATATTTAATATTTATGCACAAGGTTTTTGGTATTGTATATAATTGTTCTAATAGTCCAAAGTCATATCTTCTAATATAAATCACATGGTAGAGGCATAAAATATATAATTCTGAGTCTTATTCAGCTCAAAGGATATCAGATAGAAGGAAGTTTTTGTCCCATCCATAAGTTGAAATACTTTTTTTTTTTTTTAATGTTTTTAAATTAGTTTCAAGTATACAGTTGAAATACTTTTATTTCGACTCTTTGGGAGTCTTCAGCTAGTACAATTGAGCAAATAATCATATAGCAGTTTGGATTAGACCAAGTGCATATGTTTCTCTGATCTTATGTTTTCTCTAGAATTTGTGGACTAAAACTTTGGCATGTGAGATTTTGAAACTTTTGAGCCCTCTTTGTGACTCATTGGTGGTCAGATCATCTCAGTAACAAGTGTAAACAGACTGGCTTGCATTCCTAACCAGACCTCCTTCAGAGAGTAAACCATTTCATAGAGTCTGTATTCACTCTGACATCATGTTTTCCTTTATATTTGAACTAGTAAAACGTGTTCCTGGAGCTTCTGAGTATCCTGTCAAAGACTTGAGTACCCCTCCAAATTCTTCGGGAGGTGGTGGAAATGTTGGGCCTGCAGCCAGCCCTGCCAGAAGCAGTGATATGTTGTACCTGATAGTTGGCTGTGTGCTGGGTGTGATGGTTCTCATTCTCATGGTTTTCATTGCCATGTGCCTGTGGAAAAACCGGCAGCAGAATACTATACAGAGTAAGTCACTATCAATATTTCCTTCCCTTTTTTCAAAAAAGGTAGGTAGAAAAATATTGTCAGAATAAATATTGATTTCTAACACTTCTGCGTGTTAGTGTCATGGTATAAAACACATTAGCTACTCTTCATTCAGAGGAGATGACTTTAAAACCGTGTTAGCTGTCAGCTAAAGTAACTGGAGCATCAGATTAAATTGCCCAGTAGAAATAAACAACAAAGCCAAAGCTAAGCTGGTCTCTAAGTAAATAGCTGACTCCGTGCTGGGAAACTCTGGCTCTGTCGGACCACCAAAGAGGATGAATCCTTTAGGCATGAGCTTTGCAGTTGCTGCAGGAACACCTTCGTACTCTACAAATCTTGGCAGCAGGGAATAGGAAAGGCATGTTGGAAAGGAACGTAGGGAGGACTTCTCTAAATGACTGTCCCTGAATGACACATATTAAAATAACATGGTCCTGTTTCGGTACCTAATGTGCCAAAACTGCTCGAGTGGTGTCCCCTCCCACTAAATGTATCTAGTGATAGGAGTGCTCAAACCGTCAGTGATGGCTCTGTATTAAAACACAAAATTTAGAACTCTTTTTTCCCTTTACTTTCCCCAGTTCTCTTCTCCCCATGTTCCTACCTGTCCTATTCCCCCAGCTTGTTATAAAGTAGAATCATCAGAAAAAAATAGTATCTTTCATCTTTGGCGAGAGGAAGTTTTTTCATTTTCCCTTTGGCCTCAGAATAAGAGAATGAAAGAAAAGCAAAGAAGGACACCTGCAGTGACAGGCATTTCCAGCATCTATCAGCCAGTCCCCACATATGGTTCCTTTATATTTAATAACTCGGGGGGGGAGGGGCGGGGAAGTGATTTATTTTTATTGACTTGGTGCCTTTCACAAGAGAGGTGGTGGTGGTGGTGCCAGGCTGCAAGGGTTAGAGATCATTTGATTGGGTCTTTTTCTAAATGTTTTTAGCATCATTGACTTCATAGTATGAGTGTGCCGAATCATTAAAAGTATTGATCTGGTTGCCAGAGCAGGATGAGTCTCGTGAAAGTCACTTTTTTGGTGACTTGGTAATATGTTTAAAAATGGAAATTTACAATAGTAACGTTCAGTCATTCATTCAAAGGGTACTCATTGACCATCTTCTGTGTGCCTGGCATTGCCATAGACAATGGAGACATAGGGTAAATAAAGTAAATGTGACCTCTACCCTCTCAGATTTTAGTTTCGTGGAGAAGATAAGCAAGTATACTGACAACGTACCCGTGGGAGAAGTTCAGTAATAGGATAAGGGCACCTAATCCAGTCTTGGTGCTCTCTAATACAGTTGAAGAATTTATCCAAACTGACAATGAAGGGCTTTTTAAGGGATATTTTACTTTTTTCTAAATATATCTGGTAGGTGTACCTCTGGAAATTAGAATTTTGAGGCAGCCGCGTAAGTGCTTTTAATATTGGGAAATGGGATAATTAGCCTTTTGCCTTTAATATTCTACAACTTCCAAATTGGCTATGACAACCAAGGAACTCTATGAATAATCAGCAAATGTGTACACAACTCCATTCTTTTCTTTAAAAATGTTATTTATTGCTATTTGAAATATCCTACCTGTAGTTAGCCGTTTGTTGTCTTATACAATTTCTTTCAGCACTTTGAAGTACATGGAAGTTTAAACACTTGGCGTTGCCAGTACTTGGATAGTTTCAGCTTGCACAATTTATTATTTTCTTTTGAGTAATTGCTCTTTGGTTAATTTCTCTTTACATTAACAGAGTCATAATTAACTCAGAGTTCCTAGCTACCACCACACGGAAAAGGAAATAACAACGATAACTTTATTAAAGCATATCTCACAAGTAGGTTTTAACTGAACACTTATGTTTTATTTTAGTGTATTTGTAGTTTCTTAGGGAGTTTATTTAAAAAAAAAAAAAACTTCCTAAGGAAGAAGATTGCCCTTTTCAGTATCTTTTTGTTGTTGTTCTCTCTCAACAGAATATGACCCACCAGGATACCTCTACCAAGGTTCAGATATTAATGGGCAGATGGTGGAATACACCACTCTGCCTGGAACAAATCGGATAAATGGAAATGTTCATGGAAGCTTCATAAGCAATGGAGGTCTCAGCAATGGCTGCTCCCATCATCACCATAAGGTCCCTAATGGCGTCAGTGGAATCATGAATGGGAGCTTAAATGGAGGGCTTTACTCTGGGCACACAAGCTCTCTAACCAGGACACATGTGGATTTTGAACATCCTCATCATCTAGTGAATGTAAGAGACTCAATTATAAAGGAAAGTTCCCGCGGTGCTATGGTACAAGAACAGGGTGGGCATACATGGCTTTTTTCAATATGGAAGCCTAACTGGTTCACTGGAATGGATTTAGTATGTATTCCTGACAACCCCTTGATCCGGAGGAATCTTTGTAAGCTTTCTATTGTCAGATAATAGTTCTATTCGTCAGTATGGTTTATATTTTAAAATGATTTAGCACTGAAAGTGGAACACTAGTAGCAAATAGAAGAAGTTATTCTTGAGATGAAATGAAAATACCATTGGGTGGAGACTGGACCAAATACTTGAAATTCGATTCATTTAGAGCAAAGTCTGAAAACTCATGCCTAGGAGAGTCAGGCAGATCATGACGCTGAATGAAGCAGGTTAGGAATGAGACAGCAGCCGTGGAGGCAATAGCAAACTGGAGAGCACATGTGCTGTCTTAAAGCAGCAGCAGTAATTCAATTTCTGTGGCTGGCCTGCAGGACCAAGGGCCCAGTGTGGTCAGATTTTCTGTTTTTTTTTTTAAAACATCTGTAAATATAGGTGAAATCACCAGATTTTTTTTAAAGGTCGCAAACCTATTCCAGTTTTCTAAATAATTAATCGTGTAGGCCGTGCAGGACATGTCTACAGGCTACCAGACTGACTTCTGACACATCGTGGGTTTCCTTTGTGTGTTTTTTCCTCAAATTTGGTGGTGGTGTTGCCTGTAAGATTTTTGCATTTGACAATATTAATATTTTTCATTACCAGGAGTGATAAACCTTTAAAACGACTTTAATTCAGGGATAACTAGCTGATACAGTTTAATTTTTGAAATGGGAACAGGATGGCTGGCATATTTTAGAGGTATACTGGTTAAAGAAGTTCCCTGCACCGAGAAGTCTGATTTATTACATGGCTTGGATATGCAGCTTCATTATTGTTTAACCAAACAGATCATTTGTTTAGTTGATCAAATTTAAGTTTTCGTCATTGTTCTGATTACAATTTGCCATAATTCCCAGTGTGTTAAAATTTTAAGAAGTTTAAACTTTTTTTCATCTTCAACTTTTAATAAAGATTTATTAAATATATCTGTAGAACAAAACTATAATATATATTTGTATCTTAAAGCTAGAAATCTAATATTAGGCTTTTGTGTGGCCTAGCTTTAATATATTGTAGAAAAAATATTTAATTTTCTTTATTGCATCTCATTACCAAAAGAGAAAATGATTTCATTATTTTGTGTGGAAAGACATGGCTTATATTCAGACTTTCTCAACTTTTTTTTGTCACCATTCCTAGTCTAAACTAACATTGTCCAAAAAAACTGAAGGAGAGAGCATTAAAGTTTGAATAGCACATACTGTTTCCATAAGAAGAAAAAATAAGTCTGATGTTTGTTTTAGTATTTAAACACAGTACTTTGGTTTTTTGCACAATGAATTGCTTTTAAATAATAGTCACCCTATTAGGTGTACAGTTTTAGAGGCTATCACCTGTGATTTTAACTCGTTATTTTTCTTTTTCTTTTGGGTAGGAGGAAATTGGGAAATTAAAAAATGATGGTCATCATAAAAATCATTAATTAACTTTAATATAGTTAGTGACTCAAATAAGTGTATATTACCCTGTAGATTTTAACTTCATTTTCTGAAGCTTTGAAGTTTATGCTCATGAGCTGAATATAGCCTAGGAATATTCTTTCCCTCAATGTTTTCTTAAAAATTCCTGTTGCTAGTTGGATCAAGAATGTTGAGAAAAATGTTCAGGACTTTTGGTTTGCTTAGATTCTGGCTATTGATGTGAGATGAATGGAAATGGAAAGTATTCTGGGAAAAACAATTGCCTGAACTCTTCCTAACCTTGAAGGCCTGCTCTGGGTCTGGGTGCAGAGTGACAGCCTCTCCCACCCTTATCAGATTCAGTTCTGTTTTTTATCTGAAAGCAGAATTTCGACTCTGACTAGAAAGCCAGTTCAATTTGTAACTTCAGTTTTGAAGAACTCTTGCCATTGTATATGTCAAGTGAACATTTTACAATGAGGTATGTGTTAATCTGGGCATTTTTCTTAATTGCTGGGCAGTTTCCGCCAAAAGCAACATCAAAATATTAATACTCCCCTCCAAGTCATTGCTGGCTGAGAATCTACTCCATCTGGAAAAATATAACATGTTTTAAAACTTAGTGTAGTCAAATGAACAGACCTAATCGAAATAATTACAGGAAAGTGAAGATGGGTTTATCTTATGACATCATTCAGACAGATTTCCACCCTGTTTCTCCAACTGGCATTGCATAAAATTCTTCCATGACTGCTAGGAAAGTAAAAATGAATAAGAGGTTATAATGTATAGTATATTTTGGGCCCATTAGATTCGAAACATTGAAAGGAAGTGACTAAACTTCTCCATTGATTTGCCTCTTTCCAGTACAAAAATACATGGAAAAACATGGCAGTTAAGTTTTCAGAGTGCGGTTGTAATATTGTGCAGAACTCCTTTGTGAATATAGGTAGGTAATGATAAGCCTAGCAGAGCTTAAGGGGAGTTGGTTAAAATATACCATGTATCCACTTATTATTGGCATGGCTTTTATATTTGAGAATATTTGGTTACTGCTCTATGGCACCTTCAACCCTTTCTTCTTTTCTTTTCCCCTGTACTTCCTACTTGACTAGGGTGGTGGGATGTACACAGCGGTACCTCAGACCGACCCAATGGAGTGCGTTACCTGTCGAAATTGTCGGAACAACAATAGGTATGTTGATATGCATTTGCATTGATTGTCGTGAATAAGGTGTATGACTCCTTTTATTTATTTCCCCTTCAGCAACGGAGGTTCTTCAAATTTTACCTAAGATATAGATCTCAGAACATGGAACCTTAAGTTTCAGGCTGTTATTAATTTTTGTACCGGCTTTACAATTTTTATCTTTCTGTGCTTTGGTTTCCTTTAGCAGTGCTGACAGCATTGAAGACTTTGTTTCTGAGATATTATTAAAAGGTTCGATGTTTTTAAAATCTTTAGAGTTATTCTCTGTATACAGACTTTATCTTTTTTCACCTGTGATTTTCTGCTCTGTTATGGGACGTTTTTTACTATACATTATGAATGAGTTTGAATGTTAGGGAAAAAACCCTGTGTGTATAGTAATGTTTTTTCATAGTTATATTACTGAACTTTTATTTCCAGATTATTCAGTGTTTTTTTGAAAATTCTTAAAACCTTAAGATAATTAAGTCGCGAAATCTTGCTTGCTTTTAATTTTATGACTTAAAAAAAATTAAAAGTAATATATATCACAATATTTCAAACGAGATAGAAATACGTAGAGTAACATGTACATTTAAATTTTGACAAAATATTTGGAACATTTTCACGCTGCCTCTTAAATTTCAAAGGATTATCAATTTTTTTTCTAGTATTAAAGTTGTGTCTGTCAAAAATCTTAGTTCTTTATTTTACATAATGATAGTATTGGTTTACATGGTCTCAAAAGTACTTCCAAGCTCAAAAACTCTACAATTTAAAAATTATCTCATAGGTAGAACATAAAATAACTGAAGTATGGACTATAGTTGGGATATTTCATTATTGAAAATGGATTTTGACCTGTTTGTTTTTAAATGAATTATAAGGTTAAGTGTTATGTTTGAGAATTACCAAAACGAGAAGTTGAAGAAGGATCCAGTCAATCATAGAATTAAAAGTACATTGTTTCAGCGTCTGTTTTCAGCATGAGAGTTACAGAACAAAAGCAGTAAAAACTTCCTGGAGATTTTTCTTTATCATTTACTTAATTCATCTTAGGGTTTCTATATTGGTCAGAACCATCTTTCTATTTCATGTACTAAGATTTACTTGTTATGTTTTTTAATTCTTTGATGCCCCTAGCTAAATGTTAAGATGTTCATAATATTGAAGCCACATTTTTGTCCTCAGGTTGTCATAGGTTTTGTCACAATTTGTTAGGAACATGGTAAAGAACTAGTAAAGGTGTTTTGTACACCTGGTAAGTAATCAGATGGATTTAATTAAAACAAACGGCATTGCCAAATACGTAACGTGTTTTCCTTTATGGTTCTTCTTGTGGTCATCGGCAGATCTTGATTCAACATAGATGTTAGAGTGATGTTATTAGAATAAGTAGATGTAGGCTTTGCTACTGCTTAAGTCTGTGATCTTGGGAAAGTTACATAATCTATCCGAGGCTATTTCTTTTTCTGGAAAATGGAACATTTTCCTAAGTAATGTAAAATTGCCTGCAATATACTCTGATTATGGATTTTGGTAATTTGCTGCTAATCATGTCTTTATGATGAGGTGTCATCCTAGTACCAACAATACATCCCATTTCCTTAAGAGAATTTAAATGGCCTCTACAATCTTGCATTAATGGCCATTATATGTGTATGTGAGTGTGTTTGTATAGTGTGTGGAATTTTGATTTTTTTTTCCTTTCAGAGATTGGTCAATTATAGTTCTATTAATTTTCAAGTTAATGGCTTCTTGCATTTCATGTGTGGGGGTTTTACTTTCACCTGGGAATAGGGTGAATTCTCTTCAGCCTGAGAAAATCAGTTTGTGTTACTCCCTGGCTTAAATCTTCTTCCTGCGTGAGGGTGTACCTGTTTAGGGTACATCTGCTTGTCTGCGTTGCCTCCAAGGTTAGCCAGTGCCTCACCTGGCTCCCAAGAGACATTCTGTGATTTAACACGTAATAACTGGCCAGATAACTATCAATAAATATCTACCTTCAACTCTGGAAAATCGGAATCATTAAATTCAAAGCTTCTAACTCTTTTTGAAATCGAAACAGGTATCTCCTCTCAAGATCCCCCAAAATGGGAAAAATATGCTCAATTTTAATCAATTTACACTTTTAGAATATCGGTATCATTACTGAGAATAAATTTGCATTTTCTAATGACAACCAAAACAGCACGTACACAAAAAGAGGCTATTAAGTCAATTAAGTTAGATAAGGGCTGTCAAGTGGGCATTTTAGAGTTTTTGGCTATTCAATCAAAAACAAAAGTAAAAACAAAAACAAAACGCAACACATTTATTGAGCACTCGCTGGACACTGGAACAGGTTCTGAGGTGTTTCCAGGCAGAAGGAATTGCAAGTCGTGGACGTAGGAAGGTTAATGTTTACATATCCTTACAGAGTCAAGTTCAGTGGTTATCAAACTTGAGCTGCACTAGAACCACTTGGAGTGCTCGTAAAAACACAAATTAGGAGGCTTTAGTTTTAGAGCGGGGCCTGAAGATTTTTCTTTATCATTTACTTAATTAGGGGCGGAGCCTGAAGATTTGCATTTCTAATGTGGTCCCAGTGGTGCTGCTGCTGGTGATCCTGGGACCTGGCTTTGAGAACCACTGGAATAATTTGGCTGCTGAAGTGCAAGTAGAGAGTATAACAGGATCTAAAACTGGAAAACTGGCTGAGTTTATATCGTGTGTAACCCTAAATGTCAGAGTTTAAGAGTTGATTTAATAAACATTTACTGACTTCCTACCAAGTACTACACAGAGCCCAGTCTGATAGTGATTCATAGACAGAGCTTGAAATCTAGAGCTTGAAATCAGTTTGAAGAAGCATATTGAATCTTGTAGTTTTAAATTTAAGGAATGGAAAGAATCCCTCTTGTTTCTGTAATATAAAGTACAGAAGAGACCTGAGAATTTTATATTAAAGGGGGGATATGGATTAAATGGGCTAGTAGCATCATAATTCTTTTGAAGGCTTTTGAAAAGAGGAGTGCTCTATTCAGAGACATGTTTAATCTTGATTAATGTTAATAGTACATGGATAGGGGGAGACTAGTATTTCTATAATGAAGGTCTCAGACTTCATGTAAAGAGTTGAGGTAAAAAGGAAGAGATAAGTGATTCTAGAGCTGGAATCTTTAGGACTTGGCCATTGACTAATAGGGATCTGAGAAAAAAGGAAAGTTCTAAATGAACAGAAAGTTTCTAACATCGATGACCTGGTATAATTACCATGGTACTAGTCATAGAAATAAGAAACTTAATACAATGATATATTGAGGAAAGGTGATGAATTTAGTTTGGGGCATTTAGAGTTTCAAGTGCCAGTTGGATATCTAAGTCAAGGAGACAGATAGAAATGCTGATCTGGGGTTCAGGGGGCTAGATTGGGACTATGGTGTATATTTAGGAATCATTTGTATCAAAGTGATAAAACTTAAAAATGTTTGGGATCACCAAGGGAAATAATAGCCATGGCTAATTATTTTTGTATATTTAATTTTTTAAAGCATTTATTTGCTTTATTACTTAAGTATTTAAAATGATTAGACGTTTTCATAAGGTGTCCTATCTTTTATTATTTTTTGCTTACTGGCTTGATATATCTTCAGCGAGGTAAAGAAAAGGGTGTAAAAAAAATGAGAATGAAAAGGAAGAAGAAGATTCATTGATTCATTGATTCATTCAACAAACATTTGTTGAAGGTCTGTAGTGAGCCAAGGACCAGGCTAGGTCCTGGGGATATAGTAGGGAGCAAATCAGGCATTGTCCCTGCTTCACTGGACTTATTGTTTGATGGGGAGACATATCTTTTGTTAAAAAAAAAAAAAAGACATCAGTAAATCATAAAATATATAATTAAAACTGGATGCTTTAAAGAAAAAGTAAAGAATGTCATAGAAAGGAAGGACTTCCCTAAGCAAGTGGCATTTTGCTCAGAAGCTCTGAAGAATTTGTAAAACTAGGTAAAAGAGAAGAGGATAGATTTAAAGCTTTCCAGGCAAAGGTAAAATACCACTTATGCAAAATCTCTGAAGCAGAATGCTGGAATCCTCACAGAACTTAAGGAAGGCTAATGTGGTAGGAGGAACCTAGTAAGTGAAGGGATCAGGGGTAAAAGTAAAATTAGATCCTACAGAACCATGGTGATCAGGGAGAGGTTTTAAGTAGGACAGCATTGTGATAAAATACTCTGGGTAGAATTGGGAGAAAAAATGGGATGGGGCAAAGGAGGATACAGGGCAACAGTTAGATGGCTATTATTAGCAGTAGTCCAGATGAGAAATAGTGCACTAGGATAGTTGCAGTAGATATGGAGAGAAGTAGATGGGTTTGGGAGATTTCGGAGGTGCAAGAAAAAGAGGAGGAAGCTGTCAAGGATGGTGAACAGACATGGTACAGTTACTGAGCTAGGAAACCCTGCAGGAGTGAGAGACCATCCACCCCTTCGTATACCTTTGGGGGTCATCCTTTTAGACCCTGTGGTGTCTCATCAAACACACCTTTCCCCAGGATAGCTCTACTGGTCCACAGACGTCTAAGATCTGGAGAAGTCTTACTAAAGGCCTTTTCCATGTGGAATCTCACCCGCCCTGTGTCCTGCACCTCCACATTCTTTTTACTCTGCCTCCTTAGGTTTAAACTTAAATGCATATCTTGGAGTGGGCTTTTAAGAAACAAGTTATTGCCAATTTTAGACCCCTTTATCATCCTTCCATTTTGGTAATAAACTATCTGGAAAGAAAACGTGTCCTTTATTGTCTAAACTGGAGTATTGATGTAAAAATCTGAGAACAGATAAGAGGGGAATGTGCACTGTATCGATCTGTGGTGTTTTATTTGATTCCAGGGCTTTTGTGGCATGCTATAAATGACTGCCTCACTGTATTCAGTTAATTTGAACTCTTTGGGTTTTAAGAGTAATATTTAATAGCTCACTAGGAACAGCCAGAAAGAAGCAGCTTTTCAGGGATTCAGTCCCC